CACCTATTTGTTTTTTAAAATTTTAGCAAGGATTTAGTTTTGTAAAACAGGATTTTCAAATACTAAAATAAATGGAGAAAGTGAAAAAGGCCTTTCCTACTCCCTCTGAAGGAAATGAAAGATCTGAAAATCATTTTTTTCTTATTTCTTAGGATTGTTCTAAAAGTGAAAATACAGAACTGAGTTCTTCAATGATATTGAAAAGGAATATATGCTTTTTGTAAGAATCTCGTGTTGTTATCCCAATATCAGTGTTCCTCATTCTGAATGAAGAACTTTAGCGTTGACCCATGAACAGTTCATCTGGGAAAAGATAAACAGACATTAACAATGATGGTTCCTTCCTTAAGCAGTCTGTCATGTAACAACCGCCTTTTGATGTGGAGGAATCTTGAGTGGGTTGATTTGGTTTAAGGGCTTCTTTCTTGTTCAAACTGTGTTGTGTCCACAGGGAGATATAGGACATTTTAAAATAATATGTAGTTTTTTGAAAGGGTCTGAATTAGCTCTTTGTAATATTGTATCTTGTCATTTTGCTATTCTAAAATGCTTCCATGTAAGAGTAAGTACTGAGAGACCTAGGAGACAGATAAGAGTATTTTAAAGTGTACATCCTTTTAATCCAAGAATGACATAATCACTAGTGATATTTATGCTTCGTATTTTATGGGCCAAAGGTTTTATAACATCAGACTTTTGTTTCAGTTAGGTGAGTACATTGATTTCTTAGGAACTTTGGTAGTATGCAGAGAGTTTTAAGTTTGAGATGGATGAGAGTGGTACTATGTTACGGAGATAAGGTCTCATTCTCATTTGTCCATGAGTTCATTTAAAAAGAAGAAGGGGAACCCTGACTGATCTTTTCTTGATTAAGCAGGAGAACACCGTATTTACCCGTTATTGTTGGTATAAACCATTATTTTACTGAGAACCATTAGCTATTTAAAACTTGGTACATAAATTAAAGAGGAGCTAAATGGATTTGTGATCGTTGCCATTAGTAGCATTTTAGATTATACAGGCAATTATTGTGTTCATTATCCTAGAACAGCCCCTTTACAGAGCCATTGTGGTTGTCTTAGACATTATGCACAAATTTTCCCTTGGAGATTAAAATTTCCAGTAGCGTATTTAATTTTGTTATCACAGTTGTTTCAAATAAAACAAATATTATGACAAGTAGAAGAAAATTTGCTTTACTAATATAGGAAATTACAATAAATGTTGAAAATTGCTTCCTAGTGTATTTATCTTTTCTTAGGCAATCATAATTACTTCAAGTGATTAATAATATATTTTATCTCTAAAATCATAGTGAATTGTTTGTGGTCTGTTTAGGTCTTTAAGAAACTCTTAAAAGAATGCAGAGATTCATGTCAAAACTTGCCACTTTATGAGATCTGCTAACTTTGTATTGTTAACTAGAAATGGTTAAAAAAAAAAAAAAAAAAGACTAGCAAATGTTGAAATGCACAATTTCTCCTCATCATGCTTCGTCAGAATTGACCACAGCGTCCTGATTGTATTATATACAATATAGCCTGCGTACCCTTCTGTTGTGGGAAGAGCAGCCATCTTGCAGCACAGGCCACCTGGAAGGACACCAGGAACAGTTCATCACTAAAAAGTTGTCATCACTCGCTTCGAGTTAAAAGGGTTGAGAAAAATCATTTTACTTGGCTTCAGAATTGTGGTATTCACTGGTCCACAGTTGACTACATCCATCTTGGTCAATTAGAAAGGTATTAATGCCTTGAATTATCTGAATATCCATGTGCAGTGGGCTGCTTTTAATGTTTCCATTCTCTGATGTGGCATTTTTTTGCAAAGGAAACTTTGTATTCATTTCCGAGTGGATTTGTCCCAGCTTTGGGTCTTTTGCTGCTATGATGCAGAGTATAAAAGTGTGAGGTAGTTGTTATGCATTTTGCAAGACAGTAATTCTTTTATTTTATTACAAAAAAAAAAAGACCAACTCTGGAAGGCCAGATTAAATCATTCCTTTCACTTTTTAATGGGATTTGGATGAATAGAGTAAAATATGCACTTTGCATTCATTGATAGCATCTTTAGGTTGAGGTAATTGAGTCCCTTTTCCCTGACTGAATGAATAATGACTTCATCTGATCCTCAGTGGGGCCTGAAACTTAGACTGCTTTTGTCACAGCAGAAAGATCGGGTCTTTGAAACATGCTCTACTTCCCTGGCTTAATTTTTCTTCATTTTAATCCAGAACCTATTTTTCACAATAATTCAAGCATAAACCATGTAGTAGTGAAGTGGCGGAGCTTGTACGATATTTGTCCTCCTTGTGTTGCTGTTTAAATGGAGCTGATAAATCAGCGCCGGGCTGGGGCTGCCCTGCTCTCAGGGGAGGCACAGTCTCGGCACAGGAGAGGAATTTTCAGAATGGGTTGAATAGAGTTTCTTTCTCTAGGGAAGTGGAAGGTTTACTGTTGAGGTGCAAGACCTGGAGGTAGAGAAGGGTGAGGGAGGGAGTCCAGTGATGGGGCTGGGCCTGTAGATGTTCCTGAGGGGGACAAGGCAGTCAGGACAGGGCTGAGGATTAGAAAGCAACTTGTGCTTTGGAAGAAAGGCAGGCTTGAAAGGGTTTCGGTTGGAAACGAGCTATTGTAAGTGCTGCTCTGTGCCTGGGCAGAGTAGTAGTAGCTGTGTCCTGCTTATGGTCACACTAGAGACAAGGAGATATTCTGGATAAAACCCATGCTTAGTTTGAAGTCTTAGGAGTCTTGAGTGGTAATGAGAGGACATAAAGTGGACAGTGAGACTACACATGGATGAGCTGGACAAGGTCTGGCCGGGGAGCCCTGTGCTCCCAGCCCTCGCTGACCCAGCAGTGTTCCCGTGGAACCCGCACGGTACACACACCAGCTGACAAGGGGTCCTTGTTAAGATGACTTGTTTCTATGGTGTTTTGAAGCCACGGTGTGCTTATAGTTACCAGCTTCAAGACGGAGATTTGAAACAGCCTGGTCAACAAAGAAAACTTTCATTGTGTAATTCATGCTCTCTCTCTCTCTCTCTCTCTCTCTCTCTCTCTCTCTCTCTCTCTCTCTCTCCCTCTCCCTCTCTCCCTCTCCCCCCCTCCTTCTCTCTCTCTCGACATATATTACTTGTGTTCATTTTATTTTTCCTTCTTCACTGACTTTCTTACAGGTAAAAGAATTTAATATAAACATTGTAAAAATCTAAAAAGAGAATTTAATATTAACTCATTGTTGTAACTTTATAATTTAGCACAAAATATCATAGCCATGTAATGTTGCTTTATTTTACAGTTAAAATTTTACAGTTTTAAAATTACAGTTTAATTTTTGTTACAAACTCTAGAAAACATTTTGTTTTCCTTTCTAACTCAAGCTTGTCATGGTTTCTCGAGAGTTCATGGCAAATAGTCATCAGAACAGATAGAAGAGAAAATTATGAGTTGTGGGAAAGGCAGCTTTCTGTTGTTCAAAGTTAGGTTTTCAGAAGGCACTATAAATACTGGATATTAGCTTCGCTAATAGCTTTTTAAATTGATGAGTTAAGAGTATATATTACCTCAAGTTTTTTCAAGGGTGTCTTGGGTTATTATTGTTATTAATTATTTTTGTCTGTGGTGGGGTTTGAGCTCGGCCTTACAGGTACTTTATCATTTGCGTCACACCTCCAGCCCTGATGTAGGAGTGTGTTCTCTGGTGTGTTCTCTCCCAATAAGTTGTACCAGATGAGGGCAAGCGGAGGTTCAGGGAGATGCCTTGCTTGACAGGACTCAGTCTGTGGTTGGTGTTTCCTAATCAGGACACACCCTGTTCCCAGGCCATGCTGTACCAATGGCTGCAGCCACCACCTCCCCCAGCCACTCTTGCTCAGGATTAGTACATTTGACAGACCTGGACAGCAAGGCTTGGGGTCATATAACTAGTCACCAGAGAAATGGGATCCCAGTGCATGTGACCACAACAGCACTACCTCGTACTTCTGCCTCCAGAGTCCTGTGAGGAAGAAATTGCTGTGATCCCTCTTTGACATTAAGGAGATTGGGGCCCAGCCAGTCCAGGGTCACACAGCCAGGAAGCAGAGCCCACACAGGAGTGAGTGACGTCAGGGACCCACGAGCCCCAGTGCTCTGAGCTGAGCTTACAGATTTCAGCTTCCCGCAGCACTCAGCCTCCCACACATCTCCACCCCACACATTATGTGGCACTGGGGGCTTTCAGTGTGAAACAGCAATCAGGATCATCCGCAGAGACTGCCGGAGCCCAGCTGGAGTTCCATGCATTAGGAGAGCCTGTTCTCATAAAGCAAGGGCTGTTTTATGTGGCCAATGCTCACTCTTACAAAGAACAACCAAAAATGAGCTGCTTCTTACTGACATGATTTCCCCTCCATCATTTTCAACCACAGGGTGACTCTGAGCGTAGCGTGTTGTTCCTGGAGAACCTGATGAGGAGAGGGTTATGAAATCAAGCATGCCTTTATTAGAAGTTTACCATTCTGTGTGGTCTCTTTGCTCATCAGAAATCCTTACAAAGACTCTGGCAGGAGAGGCTAGCATGCACTCTGTCCTGGTGCTTGGGAACCTCAGTCTGAATTAAACTTGAAGGGGGATGTGCAGAGATATACCAGTGACAACAGGACACACTGGTCTGACATGGCGCTTTGCTCCTGAAAGAGCCGTTTCCAGGCGAGGCCCTCAAGAAGCAGTGCACACCCCACTGTGGGCCTGCTACTCTTAATCTTGGGTTCCAGGTGGCAGTGACAGCATCATGAATCTACTTCAGCTCAAGTAGTGAATTGTGTGTTCTTACTGAAGATGTTCTAGAAATTCTGCCTAAGTCTATAAGAAGTTTCTCAGGAGAAAAATATAGTTTTGCATTTCGTTATAATGAAGGTTAATATAGTCCTTAAGAATTATCGTGTAATACTATTTGTAACATTAGAGACAGCCAGCTTGGATGTATACTACTGTATTTCTATTTTGCTTTCGTTTTTAGGTTGGTTTGCTGGACCTTGAGCTCAATCAGCTGACGAAGGCACTGTTTCTGGCTTTAGTTGTTCTCTCTGTTGTTATGGTAACCTTGCAGGGATTCGCAGGCCCGTGGTACCGCAATCTCTTCCGGTTCCTCCTCCTCTTTTCCTACATCATTCCCATAAGGTAAGTTTAAGAATTAGATGTTGGGCTGGGATGTAGCTCAGTGGCAAAGCGCTTGCCTAGCAAGTGCAACGTCCTGGGTTCGATCCCCAGTACCAAAAAAGAAAAGACAAAAAAATACAGTTAAAAAAAAAAAAAAAAAAAGAATTAGATGTTAAAAAACCCTCTGGATTCATAGTGAATGGTTTTGTTGAAACTTTGCTTTCTGAGTTGTGAAAGAAGTGTTCAGAAGGGCGCTGGGTGTGAGGACCCGTTCTTTAGAAAGGTTGATGGGTTACACTCAACTTTATTAGAGACATCATGCTTCACCTGGTAGGGTGAAGGTGCGTTAGCACTGTCATCTCCAACAAGTGGGAAATACTTCTTGTTAAAACATAAATTTAATCGAAAAAGTAATTTTAATTGGTTGCTGATGTTTCTAGGGCTTTAGAATCTCTAAAAGCTGGGTGTATTGCTAGGATTGTACCCAGGAGGAAGAATCCAGAGGATCTAGAGTTCAAAAACAGCCTAAGCTGTTGCTTCAAAAAACAAAACCAACAGAAATTACTTACATTAAAAGGAAGATCTAATACATCTTTCAAGTTACATAAAATACTGAATAAGGCAGTCTTTAAATATGAACCACTTTTCAAAATTATGCCCTCTATAACTAGAAGTTAGAACATAGTTATTAGATGTCTTTTAGTAACTGACTTAGCATGTAAACATCCAACAATCCATTGCATGTGTTTTCAGGAATGATAGTTTTAAATGAAATACTTCAGTCCATGATGAAAATGTTTCATAAAAATGATGAAAACTTCAGGAGTCCTGAGTAAAGTCTGACTCTAGAATACCCGCCATCTGTAATGCTAGTTAAGGTAACAGTGTTGCTGGGGTCCTTGCTGTTTCTGAGTCACTGCTATGTGACCTTTGTCACTTCTTTACACTGGCCTCGGAGTGCTGCTCTCACTAGCGGCAGGCTTTACCTGATGGTCTGGCCCAGGATGCCTCTTTTCTTCTCTCCTGGAACACTGACTGCTTCTTGACTAGATTCTAGGCACCCATAATTAGTCCCTTCCTGTCACTCCGAGTTCATCTGAGTACCTCCTCAGAGAGGCTATTAGAGCCCACCAGGCAGCACCAGGCTGTGTCCTATCAGCCTTCGTAGTAGTCTGTGATCCATGCACTGTCTCTGTTGACCACTTCTTCCCTCCATTAGGCCCCAAGACTGTGGGGTCTCGTTGGCCTATTGGCTTCAAGCATGAGTGCCAGGGTCAGATGGTATGGTATGCAGAGACGCTCCAGGGCCTGCCTGCTTTGGGAAAGTAAGAGTAGGCAGATTTTTGTAATTGTCACACAAGCACATCTGTGAGTGCCACAAGTGAGCTCTGTAGCATAGTCTTTGTCCCCAAAAGTCTCTCAGTCTCTTTTTTTTTTTTTTTTTTTGGGTCCGGTCATGGGGCCTGAACTCTGGGCCTGGGCTCTGTCCCTCAGCTCTTCAGCTCAAGGCTAGCGCTCTACCACTTGAGCCACAGTGCCACTTCCGGCTTTTTTCTTTTTGCTTATGTGGTGCTGAGGAATCGAACTCAGGGCCTCAGGCATGCAAGGCAAGCACTCTATCACTGAGCCACCTTCCCAGTCCTCTCTCAGTCTCCTGAGTCCTGGGATTACAGCAGTATACTACCACACTTGGCTTCTAACTTTTTAATTATAGTTTTTTCTATTAACCTGAACTAGTCCCTGTATTTCTATTCTGATCGTTTCCCTAAAAATTTTATTAAGTTTAAAGTTATCTTTATCTTGGCTTTTCTTTCAGGCAATGTAAGGACCTTAAAAAATTTTAACTCTAGCCTGTTCTGTTTCCCATTCTGCGTGCATACTGCTCAGCCTTTTACTTTTATTTTCCCTCCTATTTGTAGTTAGGCTTGCAGCCAGCCGCCTCTGGGCTCTGGACTTCTCCCATCGTCCATATAGCAGAGAGTACTCGTAGCAAGGCTTCCTCCTGCACATCCAGGAGAGTCTGTATCCAAGACAAGAGGGGCTTTGAGCAATGCAAGTGTCACATACGAACGATCATCTCACAGATTATTGTTTGAAATAAGACTTAGGATGTAGTATTATTCCTTTTTGTGGGGTGGGGGGGAGAGGGAGATCTGGTTGTGGGGCCTGAACTCTGGGCCTGGGCACTGTCCCTCAGCTCTAGGCTATCACTCTACCACTTGAGCCACAGCGCCACTTCCGGCTTTTTTCTTTTTGCTTATGTGGTGCTAAGGAATCGAACCTAGGGCCTCAGGCATGCAAGGCAAGCGCTCTACCACTGAGCCACCTTCCCAGCTCCATAGTATTATTCCTGTTTAGTCTTAACTACTTTTTATTTGTACATAAGCAACCTAAGTAACGCAGGTAGCATATGGTGAGTGCTATGGTCAGAGAGTAGTCAGCAGCTGGTGCTCTGGGCACTGCTGGTGTAAGGAAAATGCACACACAGACCCGTGAAGTACGTATGCCTGGGTGAGCCCTGCTATTCAGAGAAGCCGTGGGGCTCAGGAGAAAGGGCTTTTGTAGATTGGTAGTGGTTTAGCTGTGAGCTTGAGAATGAAGGCCACCAGAGGAGATGTGAGGAACATGTTCTGGGCAGAGGAGGAGAGAGAGGGTCATGCCAGCTGCAGCTGTGCACTGCCTGGTGCTGTGCACCTCCCTCTCTGGCCCTTCTTCCATCTGCCGGTACAAGGTGCTAGCGCCCACCTCTGTTGAGAGGGTCATCTCCTTGTCCTGTCCCTTTTTTTTGGTAAATCACAATTACTTCTCTCTTGCTTTTATTAATTATGTTCTTTTAGTTTATTCTTTTCAGTTAAGGAGTATTCTGTTACGTTACTTTCCTGAAGGCTTCTGAACCTTACTCTTTCTGATTTCTGCACTGCTTCCATTAGGGTTTTTACCATAGTTTATTGACTTTCTCCAGTCATCTCTTCTGTAGTAAAATAATAATATGAAGAGACCCTTTTTCCATTATCCATTTAGTAGGGAAACTTAATTAGTTATAAAAGTAAATCCATGATACCAATTTTGCTAAATCTGATTTCCATTGTTTTCATAGATATGTTTGTAATAAATATGGAAAATACCTGATACAAGAAAATAAGTCATAATCTAGGTAAATTATATAGGATCTTTTAGATGTTTATAGGCTTATCGGTACAAACACATACATATATATACACATAATAACACATTCCCCCTTTTCAGTCTTTGTATCCTTTTTAAATATGTCCTTACAAAAATGGGGACGATAAGGGGCTATGTACAAGTCTGGGTTACTCAGGTTTTTCAGTGAGAATTGTATATTTAGCACACTTAGTCAAGTGCAGAGTTACTAGACAGAATTATGTAACTCTTGTACTTAGCTCCCACATATCTCTTGTTGTTTCAGTGTAACTTTACCTTGTTTTTTCACTGAGAATGCAATTATACAGATGTAGCAGAAGGAATGAGAACTGGAAATGTGAAAAGTATAGGATACTGATTTAGTGAATTGAGGTTTACATTGCATTGTTTTCCTTCTTGCAAGTCAACATAAAATAAGGAGAACCATACATCTCAGCATTTCCTAAAAACACTTTTGAACTTTTGAAAGTATGCAATCTAGAAAGTAAAATATTTTCCCCTGTTGTTCTAACACTGTTAAAAACTTCAAGTTTACGAAAATTAAGCTATTTAATAAAAATTTCTGTATATTAATATTATTTTGAGTTTTATATAATTTTGTTAAACTACTTTATTATTATATTTTCCTTGAGGTTAAATCACTTTTGTTGTTCTAAAATGACCATATATTCCCTAAATTCTGTGCGTGGTTTTTTAACAAAAACCACCAAGAGAATTAATTCTTCAGAGCGTACCTGAAGTTCAGTCACGTGGGGCCTGTGTAGCATCACCTCTTTTGTGCACATTCCGTATTTTAGTCGATAATCTGAAAATGGTCTTATCAAATAGATTTTTCACTTCAAAGGAGGCATATACAAGCAATAGTGGCAAAAATGTGTTTGACAGAGATAATGGTGCCCATTCTGAGACACATTTTTTTAGTATGTCAGGCGCTAGAGCATGCCTGTGGGAGGCTTGCCAGTGGCATGCCCAGAGCCCTGGCTTGAGAAACAGTCGGCAGGCACCCTGCTCAGAGCCTCCTCGAGGAGGCCAGGCTGTCGAGAGCGCCTGGCACTCCGCGGGACACAGAAAAAACTTCTGAAGGTTGATTGCACAACGTTCTTAGGAATTTCCTCCCGTTACTTTCACGTCCCGTGAACTTTCCAAGACCTTTTATGGGTTCTGAAGACAAGCATCTTCACTACATCATCTTCTACATAGAATGCTAAGTGAAAATAGTATTTTCAACTTTGTTACACCTAGGAGTGGTATTCAGAATTGATTATTTTGGGGAAATTTGGAAATTTTAAGAGATAGTAAAGGGATACTCACTATTTGGAAAGTATGGACATATATTAGAGAGAAGGCGTGGAATATGGCTGCACAGCATTTTACTGAAGAGGAGATAGAGTAGGTCCATTAATCAAAGATCCGCTCAGCCTTCTCAGAGAACACAGCTGCCTCATGTTGACTTAACTTTGCAGCGAGAGTTAATCCTTAGACGTAGTGAACAGTTGACTGTTAGAGGAACACATTCTGTTTTATGCACTGGTACCTGATGGTATGTTCTTAGAAAGGCCTTGAGCTGTCACTGGCCAGGAGGGTATTTGATTGTCTTCCAGATGTGAGGCATGGCGTGCCATTCCGTGGACTTGGTTGCATACTGCAACATGAGCTGTCGTGGTTCCTGCAGTTTAGTCGGACAGTCTGATTTTTATCCTTCTGCTTTGGGGCAGTCTTCTCATCTCCCTTTATTCCCTTGCTCCTTCTCTCTCTTCACAGGGAGGACAAAATATCTAAAATAGTGTTATTTCTGACCTACTCAAACCCTTCCCCCAGAAGAAACATACAAAGGCAAAATCATTAAGAAGTTTATG